GGCACATAACAGCAACAACAACAATTTTAGAACAATATCTGACAGGCATTTTACAGAGCAAATGAGAGATACTTTCCTTACAGAAATAACCAATACATTCATTGTCGTGTCCCTCCTCTGCCAGCAAGTATGTCTTATCCCTTCCCTCTCCTTGCTACATCAGCATTCCTCGCACTTCTGCCTACCTGGTCCATCACCTCTCTCTCCCAGCTACCCCTTATATGACGGCTTAGTCCACAGGTGACTTCTGTGATGTCTTGCACCACGCACTGCTCCAGGTCTCATGCTGTTGTCTGTCTCACATTAAGGAGGATATAAGTCCAAATCCTATGTACCAACTTCAGGGAAAGAGTTTTGCCTGAGGCAGTATACTTGTGTGTATGTGTATATGTGTGTATACATACATACCATATATATATGCATGAGTTGTTGTTTAGTCCTTTTGAGTCAAGCATGACTCATAGCGACCTAACAAACGAAAGACCTGAGCCCTGTTCTGTAACTATCGTCATTTCTCTATGTTCATAGAGTTTCCAGAGGCATGTGGTTTAGGAATTGGATGCCACTCCTGCTTCTATACATATGGAGCACTGGTGGCCTAGTGGCAAGAAGCTACATTGCAATCCAAAGGCTCATGGTTTGAACCACCAACTGCTTCACAGGAGAAGAATGGGCAGTCTCTTCCCATTCAGTTAACTGCTTTTGCAAACCCACCAGAGGGTGAGCTATGGGTTGGTTCTGACTCGATGACACATAACAACATATATGTGTGTGTATATATGTATGTGTGTATACATATATTTGTTTTACAATTTAAAAAAATTCAGTTAATCAGAAATGTGCTAACTAGAAAAGAAGCCCATCCCCACTTCCTGTCTGAGCTATATATTAGCAGCCAGGAACTTGAATCTGTATTTTCATGCTCAGTCAACCCCTGCTTCTCTGAAGTCTTGAATGAAGATCTGTCAGTTGGACCCTTTCCTTATTCAGTCCTCTCCACACGGTTTGGAATTTCCTCATTTGTCCATTCAGCCAGCGTTTGGTGAGTGTCTACGGCACACACTGACCATGTGAAGCATTGGTGATAAAGATGAGTCAGTCCAAAGGCTCAGACTGTTCAGGGGAGACAGAACAGCCCACGTCAACCTGAGGCCCATTGTGATATATGTTATAAAACAGATTCGTGAGATGTAGGGATTCGACGCAGAGTATTTTACCAACTGATCAAGTTATGATTTCTCCACCTGTTTTTAGTGACTGAGGATTTGCAGGTATTATTTGAATTTGTTAATTTTTACATTTATTCTATGTCTTTAAAATTCAGGGTTCTCACCACTAAGGTAATAAAGTATGCTCCCTTTCCCCTTCACATCAACGCCCCTGTTCAGCATGAAGAAGCCAAAGAGTCTGTGCCCAATTCCCAAATGAGAAACCCACAAGTGAAAAAGACAGTTTATTTGATCACCATTGGACTATGCTTACCATTGCCCTGTACCATCTGGTCCCCAATGGATCCTTTTCATTTCCTTCACCTGCTTCCCCTCCAACCACATTGTGCAGCCTTGCAACTGCATCCCTGCAATTTTCATCCCTGCCCATCCTCACCTTTCAGCTCCCAACCCTCACCTCTGTTTATCTCCAGCATGTTTTTCCCAATATAACAAAAAAAAGAAAGAAAAATAAATACAGGAGTAATAAAAATACAGATATGAGGATTAAAAAAAATTCAGGGTTCTCCATTTTACAAAGCTAAGTAGGAATAGTTGTGTAGGTGTTCAGGATACTTAATTGTTTCCAGATTAACTAGATTCCAGTCTCGTCTCACACTTCACAGCGTTTGTGGCATCATGATGTCTCCTCTCGCCTTTTCTGTTTCTAGGAATAGCATCCAGGATGCCCACTGTTTCATTCCAAAACAAGTCATTCCATCTGTGGAATCACAGTGTTGGTCAGGGATTTTTATCTGTATTGAATGACATCTCTTGCCACCACATCTTTCTAGAGGTCAACAGAACAAACCCATTTCATTTATGGTTCTGTGACACCCCATAAAGGGGAGACCTGGGCTGGCCCACCTCTAGGTCCGACACTTGAGCCACATCAGCACTATTGAGCCGCACAGGCTTCTTAGGAGGATGGGGCCGTAAACCTGATATTTCTCCACTTTTATTCTCTTTTCAGATAATAGCACTGAATTCTGGGACACAGATATAAAGTGGTTCTCTCTGCTGGAAAGTAGCGGCTGGCTTGACATCATCAGGTATTTCAGACCCTTCCTTTGCTTATGAATTTTCAGACTAATTCAAAGCACTAGAGCAAATGGATGAACATTTTTTGTTTCATAGTTAAATATTCTCAGATCTCTTTCTGTATTCAGGGCTCAGCTGCATTTTACAGGAGTTCTTTATTGGTTCTGTGCACACTTGATGTAAATTTATGGACAGAGTATCTGATTAGAAGTTTACTCTATCATGTTGACATTGACTCTGAACTCAAACTCATTTCCCTCCAGTCACAACCAACTCATGCCCGACCCTTCATTGGGTTTCCCAGGCTGTAAACGGCAGAAGAGGAGATTGTCCATCTTTCCCCCATGGAGTCACTAGTGGATTTGAACAACCAGAGAGCCTTTGTGTTAACAGCACAATTCCCTATAAAAAAGGGAGGGTGGCAATCCCGAGTTATACGTGAGGCAGGCAGGAAACTAAGGACCTGAGGGAGGAGAGATACTGACTTATCACTGAGTACGTGTTTCATGTTACTTCTTTTGTGTTACTACCTATGATGAATATCCAATAGTCATTTTTGGTTTTGTAGATGGGTTAGGTTCCCAGAAAACAGAAGTGGATTTCCTTTTACCACTGCCTATTTCAGATGCCGTTAGATTGAGGACTGGGTCCAGGAAGGTACCAAGTAGACAGATAATCTGATGACTAGGATGAGGCAAGAGACAGCCTCTTCTTTCACCCAACCTGGCCACCTCTCTCAGGTCTGCATTCGGCGTGGAGGAAGAGTCTTGGCCTTCCCCCCACTCAGTAAATATGTGTTCAGGGGCCTGCTGTGTCCTCTGCCTTTAATTTATAATCACAAGCTATGTAAATGCTATAAAAAGATAGAACCCTTCTCTATGCAGGATGGTCAGAGAAGACGAAACATCATTAACCAGATGAGGACTTGGTGGGGAATGGAGACGGAAGAGAGGGTGTCACCGCTGCAGGCAGAGAGCAGCGTATGTGAAGGCCCAGGCTTCCCATCTAGGACAAGCTGAAGAGACAGAGACAGCAGTTTCATAGGGAATAACCTGACTGGAGAGAGGAAGAAGAATCTCTCCGGCCACACAGATATGTATGGCAGGTCACCAGGAGTCAAACACCCTGGACAGGCAAATTCTTGTCCAGGCAGGAACAAGGGAAAGACAATGATGATTATCTCATATGCTTTGGGCATGTTGTTCAGAGGGGCCAGTCCTTGGAAAAGGACATCATACCTGGACAGGTGGAGGGTTCAGTGAAAGAGAGAGCATCATTGAGTTGGACTGACATGGTGACTGCACCAGTATGCTGGAACACAGCAGAGATTATAAGGAGGGCACAGGACCAGGCAGGGTGTCTGGCCATGGTACTTGGGGTCAGTATAGCGGGTCATACAGTAACAGCAAGTAGAACTCACCAGCTGACTCAAGTGAGTGTCTAATACAGATTTCTCCTTGAGAGATGAACCTGTGAGCATTTTATCAATTTTGAGGTTCCCTTTAGAAAATTTGAAATTTTTTAGGGACAGAAATATGCTTCCTAGGATTTGAATAGTATAATGATCATTTGTTTCTGGTCCCAAAGATGTTGTGGGGGGAAAAAAAATCAGTGAGAGAGAAAACTGAAGATCAATTTCGATTCTCCCTAAACCAAAGTCCTCTTTGTCTGTAGGACCAGCTTTAAGAACTAATACCCCCTTTTCTCCTGTCTTCCCTGTTTAGACGTTGTCTCAAAAAAGCAATTGAGGTTGCAGAATGTCTGGAGGCCCAGAACGTGAATGTCCTGCTTTTAGGTAATGCACATTTACAGCACAAAGGGTGCCTTCCCCTTGCCCTCGCCTGAGATGCCGTTTTTGTGTACACGGCTTTGTGTCACCGTGGGCATTTTGTCAGAGGCCTGAGCTCATCATCCGCAGTCTCTTCTGCTCTGACCTTGGAATCCTCTGCCTTGGGTTTTAATGTTATAGTTTAAAAAGAGATTCTTTCACTTGGAATTTGGCAGGCCTGTGCTCAGCCCAAGAAGGAAATGTTTGGTGGCTGAACCAAGGCTTACATTTTCTGATGTTTCAGATTTTGTTTTACATCCACTCAACTTGGTTCGTGTTAGAATCTTTTGATCAGCAGTGACATAGCTTCACTGTTACTTCTGGTTTTCTATTTGACAACTTTGTACAGTTGCTGTGTAAGTGTAGCAGCTCAGGATTCCCTTCTGTTTAGTGGGTATGACTTGCTGGACATGTGGACAGTGATAGGAAAGATACAGAATGTTGGAAAGCAACTGTAAACCTTCATACTTTAAAAATAGGTCATGAAGTCCGTTAAATAGCGGCTAATTGTTTACAATGTTTGACATTTCAGATAGCTCCACATTGCAAAACAAATGGACAATCTCATGCTTTAATTTGTACCCATGAGCTTTTCTAATTTCTCTAATACTCTCCATTAACAGTTGGGATTTAGGTTCCAATGGCAGATCAGAAAGCGTATCTCCCTCTGCCATCCAATGCTGGCTCACTGTCGAGATTCTAGCACATTTATTGAGCATTGTACTTGGCCCCTGGGCCTCCGTCCAGAAGTTTACAACATAGTGGTGGAGTTGGCTGAGTGTGTTGTTGAAGAGGCCTCACCGACACTGAGAGAAGAGAGTGCTCGTTTGGTCATGAGTAACTGGCAGGGGAGCCTCAGTTGGCCTAGTGGCAAGAAGCTGCCCTGCAAATCCCGAAGGCACACAGTTCGAGGCCTCCACCAGCTGCTCCTCGGGAAAAGGATGGGCAGTCTCCTCTTATGCAATTAACTGCCTCTGAGAACCCATCGGAGGGTCAGCCATGGGTCAGCTGTGACTCAATGGTACACAGCAGCAGCTGGCAAGGAGGGCGATAGAGAATGAGGTCTAAAGAAGGAGTGCCCAGGGCCAGGCTGTGTGGGAAAGGAAACTTGAGTTTCCTTTTTGGTTTTGAGATGTGCTGTGTAGGGTTCAACTAGAGCTGATGTAACCAGGACATCCCTGCTCAGTGGACTACTGGGTTGTCTGACCCAGGGCCCTCTTTTCTAGCTCCCCTTAATATTACTCACTGCCCTGCTTTGTGTCCAAGGAATTTCCTTTGGGTGTAAGAAGGAAAATCCCCTTAAAAATGAAACTGATAGCACAAAAAAGATAAATCTGAAAATTATGGTGGGGTTTTTTTCCCCAGTTCCATGAGTTCCCTCCCGTTAGGCTTGTCTCCTGGAGGAGAGAAACCAGAAGCTGAAATGTAAGACTGGACTTGCAGTGTCGCGTGGTTCCAGGGCTCACAGTGAGGACGGCTAACAGTGGAAAAGCCTGACTGCTGCGGTGCTGTTCTCACGTTTCTCTGACCCTGGCCACGCTGGCACCGTCATCCTCACAAACATTTGAAAGAGCAACTGAAGTTGCACTTCATTTTATAAAGAGGAAGTCACAGGGTCCTTGTTGCCGACTGCTGCTCATGGCTACACTGTGAACAACAGACCTGATGTTTGCCCTACTCTGCCGCATTCCTAGGATCTTGGCACGCTCAAGCCCTTTGATGCAGGCGCTGTGTCAGTTCGTCTTGTTGAGCGTCTTTTCTGACTTACTACCTTTCCCAGCATACTGTCTTTTTCTAAGGACTGGCCACTCCTGATGGCATGTCCAAGGGATGTGAGACTGAGTTTCACCACCCTTGCCACCGGAGAGCATGCTGATTGTTTGGCAGACCATGGTATCTTCAGTGCTCGCCACCAACACCACAGTTCTGTCATCCTTTTGCATTGTCCAGCTTCCAGATGCAAATGAAGCAATTGTGAATACTTCAGCCAGGCATACTTAGTATTTTAAACTGACCTGCTTGCTCTTTATTGAACACTCTAACAGAGGCCCTTGACGTACTGTTTTCTCAATGCAGCCTGTCTCTTGATTTCTGAAATCCTGCTACCACACGTGTTGATTGTGGATCCAGGTAAAATGAAATCATTGACAACATTCGTCTTTTCTTCATCTCTTGTGATGCTGCCCTTTGGTCCATTGCTGAGAATCTGTTTTCTTACTGTTGAGATAAAAAATCAGGTTCGTGGGTACATAGACCTTGACCTTGACTTTCAGGATCTTAAAATGCTTTGAAATATTTTCAGACATTTTGAGCCCTTTCAAATAAGATTACGCCAAAAGCTGAAAAAGAAGCCCTTGTCCCTCTCAAAGTGGAAGCCAGAGCAAAGGCCTACAAGGCCAAGAAGGCAGTCCTGAAGGGCATTCACAGCCACAAAATAAAGAAGATCTACATGTCACCCACCTTCAGGCAAATTAACAAGCTGAGACTTCACAAGCAGCCCAATACCCCCAGAAATGCACCCCCAGAACAAGCTTGACCGCTATGTCATCATCAAGTTTCCCTGACCACTGAGCGAGCCATGAAGTAGAAGATAGAAGATAACAATACACTTGTGTTCATTGTGGATGTCAGGGCCAACAAGCACCAAATCCAACAAGCTGTTAAGAAGCTCTGTGACACTGATGTGGCCAAGATCAACAGCTTGGTTAGGCTTGAAGGAGAGAAGAAGACCTACGTTTGACTTGCTCCTGACTGTGATGTTTGGATGTTGTCAACAAAGTTGAGATCATCTAATCTGAGTCCAGATGGTTAAGTCTAAATATAAATTTTTCATACACAAACACATTTTGAGACGTTATCCAAATAGATGGATGCTGGTGTGTGCTTTTATTTGCAAGAAGTCAGGCACGATGGACAAGTACGAGAAGAGAATCTTCATGGAATGAGCTGTGATAGTGCTTTCCAGGGGTAGGGAAATGAAAGTAGAACAAGGGGGACTTTCTTATCCAGGTAGGCAAGGAGAGGCAGGAAGCTCTCTGCTCCTGAAACAAAGAAAGCACCCTGAGGCTGATATGGTCACATTGTTTTGGTTGTTGTTGTTGTTATGTGCCGTTGAGTCGTTTGCGACTCATAGCGACCCTATGCACAACAGCCCTAAACCCTGCTCTATCCTGCGCCAACTGCACTG